TTTTAAAAAAAAAAAAAAAAAAAAAAAAAAAAAAAAAAAAAGCTATATAAGGTAATATCCACATGTTCCAAGGATTAGGGTTTATACATTTTCTGAGGGTCCACCATTCAGCTCACTACAATAGCCAAAATATCGGAATGTGTGTGTGTATCTTGTGGGGGGGGGGTTGACTTTTAGCAATCTATCTTAAAAAGATTTGTGGAAGGGAGAGGGTACCTTTGTTCTGGGCACTTAGGCCCATAAAGGGTGGGACTTCTTCCCATATTTTTAGAACAGCCTGAGAAACATGCCATATCTGAACTCTCACTGCCTCAACTACTTACTGAGTTAGGGATAGAAGTGTTCAGTGCCCTTTCCATGACCAGCTGGGCAAGATCTGGGAACCCCTAGGCTACAATTCTACCCCCTTTGCCAGCAGCATACACAGTGTTCTGCCAGGGCGTCATGAAAAGCTATAATTTCTTACACTTTTTTGTGTTAGGAAACTTCTCCCATATTGGGTATAGTAAGTGAAAATAAAGCTTGTTTTTGTTTTATTCATACCTTGTAAGTTTGTGTCCTCTGTAGGGCCCATTCTTATAGAGGTAAAACAACCTCTTCATTCCACTTTTGGAACTAGAAAATGAATATTTAATTAGGCCAACACACCATGCTATTATTACATGAACCTTTCTTCAGAATTTTAATGGGAACCTGTAAAAGAGGTTCTTCTTTCAGGAAATATTTAGCGCCCTTCTCCAAATGTTTAGGGGTACCTGAAATCCAGTGTAATACTGGAATAAGCTCCATGAAGTTAAAGACCTTGTCCTTTTTGTTTTTGTTTTTTTTTCCTTTTGGTTTTTACTATTGCGTCCCCAGCACCTAGAACAAGTTAATAAATAAATAAAAGCATGCTAAGCATCTCTCAGAAAGTCCATTTATATAATAGATAAAAATGACAAAAAACCAGAAAGTGCATTCAGGAATCTTCATTGAAAGTTTGAGATCTACTTCTAGCTTACTCTAACAGTACAATTGTTGATTGATTTAACTGAATCAACTAAAATTATTAATAACATTTTATGAGAAATAATACGTTTCTTTTAGCACGAAGGAGAATTTTGACTTTTCAGTTTTTCTTCTGTATGAGTATTTTATTGTCTTGGCATAATGTGTTAAGTTTAAAGGATGCGTAATAGATTAATTTTTAAAGAACTTTTTGGCACCCAGAAGTCCTACTATAGACCACATAAAATATTTAAATTCCTGATATTTGTTTAATAAACAAAATAAAATTTATGCAGTGCTTTTTTGTGTCTTTCATCTTAGAATATAAATACTTAGGGACTGGGGAAATTATGCTTAGAAGTGAAATTTTGATTTTTATGTCTTTTGTACAATATGTGATGATCAAATCAGGATAATTAGCATATTCATCATTACAAAATGTAAGCATTCTGTGTGTCCATTAACCAATTTCTCACTGTTCCCCCACCCCCTCCCTTTTCCCACCTGTGGTAATCACAGTTCTGTTCTCTCTTTCTGAAAGTTCAACCTGTTGTTATGATTGTTGTTGGTTTCTTTCTTTTTAATTTATTTTTTTAGCTCCCACTTTTGAGTGAGGACATGTGGTATTTCTCTTTCTGTGCCTGGCTTATTACACTTAGCATAGTTTCTCCAAGCTCACAGAAGTAGCTGCAAATGGCAGAATTTCATTCTTTTTTATGGCTCAGTAGTGTTGCATTGTGTATACGTAACCATATTTTCCTTACCCAGTCATGTGTCAGTGGACATTTACGTTGGTTCCATGTCTTGGCTATTGTGAGTAGAGCTGCAGTGAACATGGAAGTGCAGGTATTCCTTTGACATGGTGATTTCCATTCCTTTGGGTGTATATACGCAGCAGTGAGATTTCTAGATAAGGTGGCAGTTCTATCTGTAGTTGTTTAGTAAATCTCCATTCTGTTTTCCATAGTAGTTGTGCTGATTTACACTCCCACCAACAGTGTAGAAGAGTTCCCCTTTCTCCGCATCCTCACCAGCATTTGTGACTCCGTCTTTTTGATAATAGCCAGTCTAACTGAGGTGCAATGCTCTCTCAATGTGGTTTAGATTTGCATTTCCCTGATGATTAGTAATGTTGAACATTTTTTCATGTACCAGTTCATTTGTTTGTCTTCCTTTGAGAAATGTCTGTTCAGCTCCTTTGCCCAATTTTTAATTGAATTATTTCACATTTCTTGAACACGTGTACACAATACTATCATAAAAGAAGTGGCGTTAGGGCCGGCCCGTGGCTCACTCGGGAGAGTGTGGTGCTGATAACACCAAGGCCCCGGGTTCGGATCCCATATAGGGACGGCCGGTTTGCTCACTGGCTGAGCGTGGTGCTGACGACACCAAGTCAAGGGTTAAGATCCCCTTACCGGTCATCTTTAAAAAAAGAAAGAAAAAAGTGGCGTTATCCCATGTTTTCTTCTTTCACATTTTTCAAATGAATTTGTTTCATTTTATCTTTAATATAATTATTAAACTTATTTAGCTTTACAAACAGTGCATATTGCACCTACATAAATCTGCTATTGCTTTATAACAGCACTCGAAGTCTAAATATTGTATCATTGATTGGAGAATTAATACCTAATGGTTTCAAATTTTACACAGAAATACATAAAAGTGGAAAAATAAAATAATGTGGACAATCAAGAAAGGAACTGCTTTGTTTTTTTAGATGGGAACTGTGAATTTAAACATTCTGGTTTTATAAATTTGGCTTGGTAAGTTATGTGTTTGTTAAAATCAGAGCCATATTTTTTCAGTAAAACAAAGGGGGGAGGGGCATGAGGTTTTCTTTTTCTCTTTACGCTTCTTTAATGCCCTTATATATACTGGTGAGGAATATGTTTATATGTATGTATTCCCCATTCATTTAACAAATTATTATTGAACTATCAAGCAAGTGGTTGGCAGTAGGTTGCAAGGATAAAAAAAACAGTATTTGCTGTCAATGATGAAAAGGAAAGCTTTTAAGCAAATATTAGAATTTTCGAAAACATACCTGCCATCATGAGCTTGACAGCTTCCCGGGGCTTGCTTTTCTGAGGAGATTGGTAGTGATAACTAATGTGATTGTATATTTTGATTTTTATGTCTTTTGCACTCTCCAGTGCACCACCGGGCCGGCCCTTCCCCCTATATTTTATCCAAAACAACATACTATGACAGATTGAATGCAGTAGCAGATAAGAGTCCGCCTGTCTTCCATTAAGCCAGAGACGAAAGAGATTTGCAAAACTGCAGAGCAGTGCTGCCTTCTTACTATCATGTTTTTGTTTTAGAAACTAGTTATTTTTTATAAGAATATGTTATTTATGTTACATATAATGAGTTTATTGTTACTTTTAAAGGAAGTAATGAAAATTTTTTAGTTTTATTATTATTATTATTATTATTATTATTATTATTATTATTATTAATAATATTTTTGGTGGCTGACCGTTGGGGGGATCTGAATCCTTGACCTTGGTGTTAGAACATTGCGCAATAACCAAGCGGGCTGACCAGCCCCTTATTTTCAATTTCTAATATGGTAAACATTATAGGTATAATCTACATTTAAAAAAACTCATTGGAGTTCCCAGTGATATTTAAGGGTATAAAGAGGTTCTGAGATAAGAATTTTGAGAATTGCCGATTCAGAGGAATGATTCCACTTCTGAAATATATGTTGGGATGAGATTCCATTTTATGGTGAGACTTGGACTTTACAGTAAATAGCAAGAAGTCACAGAGTGTTTTTGAGCAGAAAAGTGATCAAATCAAAGTAGTACACACATGCTTAAGATGAATCTGGAGGTGATAGGTGATAGATTCACTAAGATGGAAGGGGGAGATGAGAGTAATGGGGAAAGGGCAGATGGAAGGTATTAAGGACCCAGGTTAGATTAGGCTAAAAGAGACTTGTGAAGGCAGTGTTGACCCAGCTCCTGATAGGATTAGGAGAGGGAGCAGTCAGATGTTGGGTTTGAGCATGGGTCAAGAGAAGAAGCTGATGTGTAGGAAAGTAGAAGAGTTTTCAATTTTTTGTAGCTCTGTGGTTAAGCATTTTAGATTTAATAACCAGGTATACTTAATGTGAACTGAAAAATGAGACCGGAGAGCCTTCCAGCTCTTGTGGTATCATGAAGAGTCCTTTGTTAGGCAAGCAAAATGGTGATCTGATTGCTAAAAATGTGTATTTTGGTGACTAGGTGATAGCTTATATGAAAATCTCAAAGTATACATTTATCAACTGTTATGTGCTTGGCACTATGCCATGTGTTTTTAACAGTGGTTATGTTTCTGTATATATTCGTGAGTTTGTATATGGTTTTAAGCCCTAATAACCCATGTTTTTTCATTTTCTTGACTTATTTACAGCATTGTATGAAAGGTTATTTTCCTATGACAAGCAATACGTTTAAACAAGTTATAGTTAAGATTTAATAGTAGACTTTTTCCCTTTTTATTTTAAATGACACAATTAGTCAGTGGCACGTGGAAGAGAAGCATCTATGTCATATCCCTCCTGTGATAACTGTTTTTCATTGAAATTCATTGATACTGTGTGGATGATTTACCCAGGCATTTAAGAACGGCTGAAAATATGCTCTAACAACCATCTGATAAAATGAAAAACTGAACAACAAAATGTGTATTCAGATGAATGATTCTCTGAAGGAATAATGGTGCAAATGAATTATCAAAGTGAGAAATCATTAAAAACAAAACATGTTTGGGTTTTTATTGAATCTTAATTGTAGGCTTATGTATTTTCTTTTGTAAGCTAAGTTAAAAGAAAATTGCCTAACTACGTTTTTGGAGGCCAGTGTTGTAGGACATATATTGTACCGTAATTTATTTTTCGCATAAAGGCTGCTGTTCATTTTTTTCAGTATTAACATGCGTGCTTTCCTCATGTAGGAGAATATATAAAAAACTGGAGGCCAAGATACTTCCTTTTGAAGACAGATGGCTCGTTCATAGGATATAAAGAGAAACCTCAGGATGTGGATTTACCTTATCCCCTCAACAACTTTTCAGTGGCAAGTAAGTTAATTATAATTGTGGATTCACCTTGCATTTATTCTTTTGTATGATTTTACGTGTCAGATATCTTAGGATATGTGAGAAGCCTGTGAAAAAGTTTGGGTTTATATTTAGTAACAAAATTTCAGCTTTGATAGAATTTCAGTTCCTTGGCATAGGGATTATTAATATGTGGATTATACAGTGTAATATAGTTTTGATTTTGTGTGTGTGTGTGTGTGTGTGTGTGTGTGTGTGTGTGTGTGTGTGTGTGTGTGTGTGTGTGTGTGTGTGTTTTGCTTTGTTTTGTTTTATTTTGTTTTGTTTTGTTGGTGAATGGCCAGTAACAGGGAATGAACCCTGGTAAAATTTTTTATATTTAGAACTTGAATGTGATAAATACATTTCCCAAAATGTGTACCTCAAGGTTTTCTTTATCAAATGTAAACAAAGATCTTTGAACTTGGTTGCAAGATGTTGCAGTACTTAGTGCATTTCTAATCAAGATTTCCTATCATAATCTAAGCTCTCTTGATGGACTGTATGTTGAGAAACAAGTGATTTACATTATAAATCATTTTCTGGGGAGATTTTATGTTTATGGTTAAATTTTTCTTTCAAATATCTAACAAAAATGTTTACAACTTATTTAGAGATTTTGTATTTACTTGAAAATAGCACAGAATAAACAGGCGATGATAATGACCGTGATTATTCTGTTGTGAACAGGCTCTTCAGATTGTTCAAACTTACTGATAAATCAATGAAAGGTCTTTCTATGTTTAATTCAGAAGTAAAGCATCTAAAAAGTTACGTTAAAATAAGGTATAAGAGCTGGCTGGACTGTATCACTGAGATAAAATCTTTAACTAGACAACATCCTTAATTTTAATTTTGGTTGTGTGTTATGTATTAGCCACCTGTGTAAAAGATATGAGGAACAGCTGAAGCTAAAAAATACAATAAAGTAACAACAAAGAATCTGTAAAGAAAAAAAGAACTTGAATGTTATAAAATTATACCATTATGAGATCCCTGGTCTTTTTTACTCCAATTATTTTGTTCAGGTTAACCCTTCTCAGTAGATTAGAACGGTTACTTTTTAATTTTTATTTTATTTTTTTACGAAAAAGATAAAACAATAAACCAGGGGGTTTGTGAAGTCATTTGAATGATAAGCATACTAACTTTACAAAACAAGAAAACCCTCTCCGTTTGTGTCATTGGTTCTTAAAGAGGGATTTTATTTTTTTAAACAACACCACTATCATATGTATGTATAAGGAAAACATCATTTTCTGCACTGAAATGCTCCTTAGATATTAATAGCTTTCTTTCAGTAGAAAATTACTTTTTCAGTCCTGTTGTCAATTGAAATAATAACTTGTATTTTGTATGACTTACGACCACATTTTCATTCTACAGATCTTTTGGGTGAGCATTTGCTTTAATGTAATAGTAATTATCTACTAAAATGTTAGCAGCCTATGTTATCAGGTCCTACCTGAAGCTAGCTAGTATAGTTTCTTAGTTTGTCCATTTTACTAACAAATGCTATTGGTTCGTCTGAAACAATTTATGGAAGTACAGAATTCCTGTATCTGCTGATCAAAATGTAGCATTTTTTGACCTTATGAAATTTCACACCCCAACAAGTTTTAAAGACATACTGTATGTCACAGTCTGCCAACATCTGCTCCAACACTTCCACTGGCAGAGGCTGAAATAAATGCTGCACTCTTGGGGAGAGATCTGCTTTAGTGACTGACAGTCAGCTTATTCATGAAATAAATACTAGTTGACATCTGTAATCTTGTATAATAGGTAGTTGTAGATAGTTAACTCAAACTAACAAGTAAAGTAAAGACTAGCTCCTTAGTTTTCAGAAATATTATTAACATGGATCTTGGACTAAATAAATTCTTTTAAATTGATTATTCTTCAAGCTTCTATAAATAATAATTACTTGAGGAACTAATGAGTCTAGTGGAATAGGTACTAGTTGAAGAAATAGTTGACATTTCAGCTTTGCCACAAACTGAGTATGACCATGGGCAGGTCATTCGCTGAAACTTTATTATCTTTTTTAGTCCTCCATTAGCATAGTAGAAACACTTGGATTCAGTGGATTTGTAAGGCCCTTTTTGTCCCTAACATTTTGTGATTCTGCGAGGTGGACTTTGAGCAGGCCATTGGAGTGAGTAGTAGTTAAGCAAAATAAAATAGATGAGAAGGATATTCCAGGCAGAGAATAACAAAGAATGTTTTTATGAGGCATTGAGAGATGGAACGGTTGGAGCAAGAGAAGGTTTCTTCACCAAATTTTTTACCTTTTGCCCTAGCCTCCTTTAGTATATTAAAAAAAAGATCATTTAACAAGGTATGTTGAGAAATACCATATATACATCATCCTTTTAATAGCTACAATTCGAGTCCCCTATTTTTCTGATAATTAAAAATGTTAAAACATAACCTATGTGGGTTTTAATGAAATATTACCAAAATACTCTTAATCCATTTTTTTTTCCTTTTTGTCTTTTTTACTGACCGGTAACGGGATCGCAACCCTCGGCGGCCTCTCTCCTGAGCATCAGGTTGCTATAATGCTATATTCAGTTCACTGCTGGACATCTCCACCTAGGTTTTCTTTTTGGACTCAGCATGTCCTAAGCTGACCTCCAGTGGCCTCTCTCCTGAGCATCAGGTTGCTATAATGCTATATTCAGTTCGCTGCTGGACATCTCCACCTAGGTTTTCTTTTTGGACTCAGCATGTCCTAAGCTGACCTCCAGATACTTTTGTCTTCCTTTATATTCAGTATATCAGTTCTGTCTTGTTCTGAGCAGAAACCTGGATCCATTTCATGCCTTTTTCCCCCTTCACATCTTCACCCCTTCCCAATCCATTTCTAGTCCTGCTGATTTTGCTTCTTGTTTCTTGAACCTATTAATGTCCTTTCCTATAGTCACCCTAAAATAAGCCCTCATCATCTCTGCTATTAAATTATTATTATTGTTTTTTTGGTTTTGGTAGTTGGCCAGTAAGGGAATCTGAACCCTTGACCTTGGTGTTATCAGCACTACGCTCCAAACAAGTGGGCTAACTGGCCAGCCCTTCTATAGATTCTTAACTGGATTCTATGGATAGTTTGTACCACCCATCATATTCTTTCTTTATATGGTTGTCAGTGATCTTTCTAAAATACATCCTAAGTGTGCCATTCCCCTGTGAAAGCCCTGCTTCGGATCTTCACTGCCTGCTGGATAAAGTCCAGTTTCCTTAATACATCATACAAGGATTTCTTCAGTCTGGCCTTTATTTTCAGCTCTTGGTTCCTCTCTATTCTGCTTTGCAGTTAAGCTGCAGCACTACTGAACTGTTCGGAATTCCCTGTGCAGCCCGAGCCACTTTTCCATGCTGAACCTTTGTTTATGCTGTTCCCTCTGATTAGAATGTCTTTCTGTCCTCTGTTTGCCTGGGTAATTTTCTTCCATCTAAGCCTTCATTCAGATTTAAATTCCCATCCTTACTCTTTGCTAAAGTGTTCCTCTCTGCCCTTCTCAAAGCTGTTATCTTTTGTTGTTGTTATCACATTGTTTCTTGGTTATCTTTAATCTGAGTTATTGTAGGGGAAAGAGTTAAGTCTTACTTGTCTTATATCTCCTAGTACTGACATATTGTGGCTTAATAGCTATTTTTTGAGTGAATGTCGTTATCACATTGTTTCTTGGTTATCTTTAATCTGAGTTATTGTAGGGGAAAGAGTTAAGTCTTATTTGTCTTATATCTCCTAGTACTGACATATTGTGGCTTAATAGCTATTTTTTGAGTGAATGTCTGAAACCATCTAGTCTAGATTTTTTCTCATTTAGATGAGAAAAATGAAGTCTTTAGAAATTCAGTAATCTGTTTAAGGTTGCCGTACTAGGCAGTGGTAGTTAAATATCAAGATTAAAACACAGATCTCTCCTGTCATTTAAATGTTCTTCCCCTCCTCCATTGCTGTACTATGAAATTTTTCTAGAATCAGATCAATGAGACCTGATTTGGGGTACCAATTCCAACATTTAAATTGCTAAGTATCCTTTGGTATGCAGAATGGAAACTCTCCAAGCCCCATAATAAAGTGTGGATAATAATATTTGACCTTCATCCTAATTTGGGTGGATCAAATATGAACTATATGTGAAGGTACCTTCTAAAGATGTAAGTAAAAATAAGGTTTTCCAATTAAGGTACATCTTTAATTAGAATATATGGTTTGATGGATTTCTAATGATTGTAGATTGAGATCATCTGTGCACAGGAAACACATTTGATTGTAAAGAAATGTTGAATGCACACATTATTGCAAGGTTGTGTTTAAAGGTACTTTGAGCAAAATAGCTTCTCTGCTCAGTATTCACTGTCTCTGACAGTTAGGCAGTTATCAGTTTCTCTCAAATTCACTACCTTGCTCAACTCCAGAGTGGAAATAATTCCTGTGTGGTGAATGTGAGCATTTGCCCATATGTTTTGGAGGTCGTGCTACTTCTGATTCGTTCCTTCTTACACTCTGTGGTGAGAAGGGAGAAGTACCAGCCTGTGCCCCAAGAAGCATCCCCTGGAATTCTACCTTATTTGATGCTGCAGATATTGGCCCACCATGACAATAACAATATCCCTTTCATCTCTGAAACTTTTCTTCAGTCCCTTCGATGAAAAATAGGTCAGTCTGCATTTCTAAGGCCAATTTATCAAATTGAAATGTTTACTCTCTAACCTATTTTTCTTTCTCTTTAAAACTAAGGAAATTATGGGGCTTAAACCTATCAAAAACATCTTTATCTTGTAATAAATTTTAGACTCGAGATTTTAAATATGTAGAAAAATCAGTTGATTCCTGTTAATGCTTTCATTGGACACACAGAGATAGAGAAAAGGTTACAGGTTAATTCTTAGTCTTACATAACAGATAATTTAACCTAGAATAACAACACTAAAAAACTAGAAGAACCGTAAACTATATAAATATGTACAAT